GTCTTAAAGCTTCCTTGACAGGTCTTTGCGGGTGCCACTACACGATGCCGTCTAGGTACCTCATTATGCGGCACCGCAGACAAACCGGCCCCGTCATTAAATTTAGTTTCGGGGAATAGGTCTCTCAGCCGGTTCCCCGTCTTTTCATTGGGACAGTTGAAGACAACTGCCCCATGCCTCGGATGCCTTCAAAGGTGGGGGTCTACACCGTTAGGCAGAGGATTGTCACCCTGATTGTCCTTTTCACCACCTGGGCGTGTAACCTTTGATCCAAGACCTTGGGCTTCTTCCCTTGATGGCTAGTAGCTGGGCTGGGAGTGTCGTGTTCAGACACTGGATCTTTTTTTGGCCCGGCCTGCCCTTCAGCACCTCCAACACCCGTATATACACCGGTCGAGGATTGGGCTTTCGCGTCTGTTCCCTCAACCGTTGTTGTTTCATGCGGCGCTTTTCAGCCCCGCACATGCAATTTCTGGTTTTACCATATAAATAAGGAGGCCCTAAGGTAAGTCCGGAATCTCGCGGATTTATTTGTCATTTGTTTATTTTGGAATTTCTGAAGCATTCAGAGTTAGAACAGCATCGTACCACTTCGAATTTTCGTTGTCACTCTGTCGGTGCCTATTCTCGCCCGCGCCTTCGTCGATGGGCCGGTTTTTGTCGACTTGAACAGGCTGGTCTCGCTGCGCCTCTGCATCGATCTCACTATCGTCACGTCTTGTCTGAAATTGTTTCTTCGGCCTTCCGGACCTTTGGATTTTGATCTTTAGAGGTCGTCCTGACGCACGTTCGGCTCGGATCATTGCTTTCGGGTATTCGTTCCTGTTTAACCTCTCCTCGATCCAACCGGGTTCCCGAGCGGGTTGTTCCAGGTTCAGTGGGCTGTGAGCGATATCAGTTTCTCGGATGAGGGGTGTCTCCTCGCCTTCCTGGTAAAGTTTGAAACCACCTTTCGTTGTCGCTTCATCAATAATGTCCTAGTGTGCTCCTTCTCTCTCGAAATCGTTGAAGAACATCACGACTCTGGAAGACCGAATCTTTCTTTCAGAAGGAACCCATATTCGGTACTACTGATATATATATATAAACTGGATACGGTATTGTCGTATACTTGCTGCATTGGTAATAGGACAATTTGAAAGTGACCATAGACGTCAGCGCTTCTTCGGTCACAAGATATATTAAGGGCAAAGAGCGCGAAATAAAAAAAAATGTATTAAAGAAGAAATTAACACTACCAGGTGTATAAGCTTAAATCCGCTGTTTTTTAGTCAGAAAAACATGTTTTTTTCATGGAAAGAGAAAAAATAATTTATTTAAAGTACTGGCCCTCGCTAGCTACATATCTGTCCCATTTCTCCGGCAATTTCTGGATACCACACCAAAAAATTCCTTCTCTTTCGAGGCAAACCACTCATCAAGCCATTGTCGGACGTCTTCGTAAGAATCGAAGTGTTGCTCAGCGAGCGCGTGGCCCATCGACGAAAACAGGTGGTAGTCAGAAGGGGCCAAGTCTGGTGAATAAGCGACATGGGGTAGCACCTTCCAGTTGAGTGCCTCGAGTTGAGTGCCAGTTGAGTGAGAGTAGTTTCGGACCATTTTTGACGTGTGCGATGGTGCGTTGTCGTGGAGGCAAATCAACTTGTCATGTCCTTGCTGATAATCTGGCCTTTTTTCACGCAGAGCACGGTGCAATTTGATCAGTTGTTGGTGGTAGCGGTGGGCACTGACAGTTTCACCAGGTTTCAATAGCTCATAATAGACGATACCCTGCTGATCCCATCAAACGCACAGCATCGTCTTCCGTCCGAAGCGATTTGGTCTTGCGGTTCACAGGTCACTGCACTTCGGCTATCGTCACTACGCGATCCGAAATTTCAGTTCTTCTTTTCGCGTGTGGTCGTGTGTGTATCCCACATCTGATTCGTAGGAGAATATTAAAATGGGATTCCCTTGAAAGTAGATATAGACAAAATTCAAACTTTATTATAACAAAACGTCTCTAAGAATGTCTAGCGAAGGATTGTGCGATGGATGCGACGTGTCTCTAAGAAGTCCGTTTATCGAATGCTCCTATTTCTTGTCCTTGCAAGCTCTCGTCCTCCGTCGCCTCTCAAAGGCTTGGTCGTCCTCGCCCACGCGTTGTTTAGATTTCCTCAAGAACTGGATGGGGTGACGTGGTCCAAAGGAAAAGGAATACGCCTTGAAAAGTGACATGGAAGTTAGATATTTGTTGTTATTTCCCAATCAATTAGGTAACATGTTATGTAACGTGTTATATTAATGTTAAAAGTTCAGTTACCTTAAAATAATATCAATTTTTCAATCATTTAATACAAAAATAATGTAATTTTATAAAAAATTATGTAATTTTTTATTTTGTAATATTTTGTGACACTTGGCAATAGTTAGGTATTATATAATAAATTAGACTTCAAATGAAATTATGTGAATGATAAACTATATGATTTTATTTAAAAACTATGATTTCATTCGACTCACAAACCATTACTGATAATGTGTATGCGAGTACGAAATAAAATCACATTTTTCCATACGAGTAATAAGCAAAATATGACATATAGTAATATTAGGACATTTGCTGAGGAATTATGACAATGACGATGACGATGATGAATTAAAATAGATGACAGCACCAATGTAGTTCTGTTTTGTTGCAAATATGAGCTGCATATACACAGCGATATCAGGACAGCAACATAATGTGAGATAAGAGTAACAAAGTTACGCTACATTTATATAGATATCATAATAACAAATGTTATGTAACCTGTTAGCTCCATGTTAGATAACTGTTAAGTGTGCTGAATTGTATCCAATGTCATTTAACTAGTTAGCTTTATGTTACGTAACTGTTAGGTTTGGTGTTCAGTGAGTAAACGCCTGCATTTCGTAAAAATTCCATCCGTTGTTCGCCAGATGGAAGTTTTTTCCCCGAATAACCCTTCTCGACTCGGGCCGACAATGACAATGGCCCGAAATATTAAATCTTGCACGAATGTCCTCGAAAACACGATACATAACACATACTTAGTACTAGTGATTGCCCAAGATGACCCCGAGTGTCATCAATCGACGATGCGATTAAGGGCGCTCACCACTCTAGCGATTTTGCAGGGTCTCCCGGGGACAACGATTCCGAACGTATTTCTAAACCCATCGAGCTTAACGAGTGCTCATATCGAAGATGAAATGTTGACCCGTGTTTATATGGGTGTGATTTTCGATAAGTGGTCATTTTCATATAAAAAAGTGTAACGACATCATTTCAATGCCCTTTTACCTAGGAAGGAGGTGCTCGATCGAAAATCGCTCCCATATAAACACACGTCAACGTTTTATCTTTAAAACGAGCACTCGTTGAGCTCGATCGGTTGAGAAATACGCTCAAAATCGTTGTCCCCGTGGAGCACATTTTCAGGACTTTCGAGTTTGTCGCGAGGAATTTGGGCATTCCTTGGCAACCGTTGCCGACTCTAGGCGGAGCATCCAACTGGCGTGTGCGGGCGGCCGGGTATCACACACGTTTCGGCGCCTAGTCCAGAGGCGTCTAGCCGTTGTGTGAGTCCTATACGTGCAAAATACGCATACATTTTTCGCCCGTTCGCGTCTCCCTCATTCGAGCGAGAAAGTACGTTTTGGTTACCTCCCACCGAATTCGATGCTAATGCCATCTAGCGGTGGAAGTCATCGTCCCCAATTTGGTGGTGAACACCGTTAAGGCTCTTTCCGGTTTACCTCATTTCGGTTTCCTTTTACATCCGCAAGAGGGCAACATTTAGAAAATATTATTTTCTTCTAAATTTTAAGTCGCCTCTGTAATTGTACATTGGTACCGCTTGACTCTTTATTTTATGTATTACAAATTCTTATCTTACAGGTTAGAACGTATACAAGTTCAAAAGTACACGATTAAAAGTTATCTTCACTTGGCCAAAATCAACCACGCAAAATATTAAGGGCTACCTCAGTAAATTTTAACAATACTGGTGGATGCTTATAACCGAAGAATTCATTTGATTTTAACGAAGATAACTACTCGGTTAAGTTTTTCAAAGTTAAAGTCGGTAGCGATAACCCATGAATGCGTTACTTTGAACCATTTCAATTGAACCGTTTTAGCTTGGCGATGGACAGCTAGCACTTGCTTCCTTTTAACCATAACTTGGTTATTTTGAAATGATATTCCTTTAAAGTGAATAGAAACACCCTTCAAATCAGTCGATTTGAATACAACACTTTTTTTTAAGGGTATTAAACCAAACCGTCCGAAACTTTGACACATCACTCCTGATCATCTAAGAATTGTCCTGACACATTGAAAATTTGGATTTTTCAAACAAATTTGTTAACTCAGCCTAGACCAGAACCAATATGGCATCGAGCTCTCATATTTCGACCAATATACAATTATCGAAGGCTCTGATATGAGAATCGAAAGGTCAGGACAATTTTACGACAATTTAGAACACTCTAATAGTCGATAAACTCGCATTTGAACGGGATAAAGGCAAAAAAGTGTTGTATGCGCTTGTATGCTAAAACGATGGGACTACGAGGTCTCGGAGTGAAAATTTAATTGACCTGGAAATCACAGATGGCGCAGGGGGTCCCTCTGCAGTCAATTAGGGCCCCAGAAAGCATGAATCTAGAGGATTTCTGGAGTTTTACATTGATTTTTTTATAATTATTGTACGGAAACGACATATGGTGTACGCCATTTGGTACAATATCCAATATAATTCGACACAGCTGTCAATATAAAAACCAACGTCGGCAACGTAGGCATTTAGAAAAATCTTTATCGACGTTGACCAAGTTCCTCGACGTGTTTCACTTCACCTTAAGCGATCTATTTTCAAGCTCGATTAAAGTTTCGTTTTCTCAGGGCAGAACAGACATGACATGCATAAACATTCGGGGATTGTTTATGTTATTAGAGGGTACCGCTATAATTGGGCTGTGAAATGTGTGTGCAGGGAGCAAGTTTTCATTCGATCCGAGCCTAGAGGACGGGGTGTCTCCGAATGGGTCAAGACGTTCCCTGGCCGACACGTCGGTGACCTCGACAGCGGACCTCTCCGTCTTCAGCTCAGCCGCCCGTTCCCAGGCCCTGGACAATAGTTTGGACACCCAGAGCAACATCTCTGACGGAAGTTCTGGCAGCGGTGGCCTTCCGACTCCAAGAGCCACTTCTCATCAGCCTAGTCCGGATATTGTCAGGATCTATGTACCATATACCCCTCCTTCCCCGGCACTGGGTACAAACGATGTCCCGCGACATCTGCCCAGGACCCTAGAAACCAATAAGATTCGCATCAGGGTAGACCCTGACCGTACTCCAGTGGTGGAAAACCTAAAACCCTTTACATTAGATAGCCCTGAACTCGAGCTCGACTTGAAATAATTCCGTATGTTTAGCTAAAACGTCCACAAATGGGACATCTTAAGGGGCTATACCACAAAAATTACACATTTTTTGCCATTTTTTTTTCTCAAAAAGTAATTATGTCGCAAACTTGTTCTTTTTTCCATGAAAGGTCGTATGTAGGAGAATACAGGAAAAGTTTTCTTTCTAGTAAAAAATACATATTTACTTTTTTATTATTAGAAACGTAGAGTACTAAAAAAAATTGTTTGTTGTTGGCGCGGGGGATTGAAGTCTTGGTGATTAGAAATAAAAAAATTCAAAAAGATTCTTCATCTGTAAGGCCGTCACTATTGCCCGTACCTCAATTATATCATCAATTAACAAAATGGCGGCGTTTTTGGCAGAAGTGTTAAAAAATACGTTTTTTGCGCTATAATTGAGGCAAAAGTATGAGTTAAAATTAAAATTTTACCATGACTGAGGTACCGGCGAAAGCAACGGCCTTACAGATTCAGAATCTTTTTGAATTTATTGTTTAACATCACCAGGACTTCAATCACTTGCGCCAGCAACAAACAATTTTTTTTACTACTCTACGTTTGTAAAAATAAATAAATAAATATGAATTTTTTACTCAAAATAAAAATTTTCCTGTATTCTCCTACATTAGACCTTTAATGGAAGAAAAGTTTGTTCCATTCTTTGCAGTACTTTTTGAGAAAAAAATTGTCAGAAATATGTAATGTTTTCGACGTTCACAGTTGTATAGCCCCTTAAGTCAATTTGTAGCAGCCGATTTCCGTTGCGTATTGTAATTTAGATTTTATTGCAGAATCCTGAATCACAATGGGCAGGTTAGATGCAAGTGCTGTCTTGCGCCATCTACCGAGAATATTAGAAATGAATATGATTAATATTCGTGCGGATCTTGGCCGTCTGTTCAAAGTGGAATGTCCGTAATTTATGTCCTCTTTCATTCCAAGTCCCACTTCTTGAAACAACGATTTATGCCAATACGTTTAGTAATAGGAATTGAGTTTGACTCTTCTTTTTTTTCTTCAAATAGGTCGTTTCGTGAATGATGCTTGCGTTCAATTTGAAGCAGCTAATTTTAATAAGATAAAATTATTTAAATATTTATTTTCAAATCCGAAATGGTATCTAAATATCCAGCACAGGTAAAGTATCTCTTTTGTTTAAATTTGATTTTCTGGGACCTCGATAACAGATGGTTGTGATAACATATGGATAAAGGTCTGATTACAGATTTCGTGAGACGACCCCTTTCCCAATAACTGACAGAAATGATTTGTGTCCTATGTTCAGAAAATCTATGATGGTGTGAGTCTTATTACTGGTACACCAATAACTTCTTGTCCAGGTTCTATAAGAATCTAGTTTCTTTATTCCTAAGATTTTGAAGGATATCACTCGAGCTAGACTCAAAGTTTTTCTCATTATTTTCTCATTTTCTTATATAGACGTCTTATGGTGTTGAATAAATATTGTTGCATTTGACATATGGATAACCACTCCGCTAATGTTATCCTATTAACAACTATAAATATGACTAGGAAGCATACTTTAATTAAGCGAATAGTGCTTTATTGTTAACTCTATTTAACATCTATATTCAGACCTATACAGCTTTCATGTTGTATTCCTGAATACGTATTAAGCACTTCGGGAAATAAAATAATACTCAAGATAAGTTGTCAACAAGACCTCAATTGCAATGTGTCTTTCTAATGCTTTGGTTTGATTACGTGAAACGTGAATCCACCAACTGCATACCTATGTAATTAATATCGTACCTTATTATAAGGATTAGTGACCTGAGGTATGCATTATGAGGGAAACTCCATATAGATGGCTCAAATGTTGGTAACTTTGGGACATTTTTGTCGAACTCTTTATTGAACACCAATGAAACTTCATGTTTATATTAATGTATAATACAAAGAGCAAATATTATTTTTTCATGTAATAATCATTATTGTATATAGACGTATAACAGTATATGCAATAATAACATGTCAGAGGCGTCAATTCGCTCTAATCGGATACAATAAAATATGCAAAAACTTTGTTTTTCTTCATTACACAGCGAGTCATTCTTAGGGGCTTAGAAAATAATGTTACAATTTTAGCAAATAACAACTCTTCTATTTTGCAATAAAATGTACATAATTCAATAATATTGATAATGTCGTAGATTCATTAGATGAAGAATTTAATGTTCTATAGTTTTTCACCGGGAGAATTTAACCGGTATAATATTTTTTTCGTTGTTGTGTCCACCAATTTGAAAAATGTCATTCAGCTAGATGTCCAAAATAACAGTTACTTTTATTGTTTCGATTACCGCGTTTAATGAAAACCGCGTTTAAAGTAATCGGGGAAAAAAGGTATTTATTTTGGAAGCTTGTAACCCTTTTCGCGCTAATCTGGGATTCCAGGGCTATACAGCAAACCTTCTGACTCCTCGTGAAACTGTTGTTGTTCAGTTTATTGTTGTTTGGGAATAGTTCAAACCTCTGTCCCGCTTCTTTACCTGCGTTTTGTCAACGCGCAGCTGTAAATTCAACTTTAGCTTCGTTTAGATGTAGAGTATCGCTCCATAACTTTAGAAACATATTCTCTATATGAATAAGTATTGATTTAGATAAACAAAGATAAAACCATTTTTTTTTGTTTAACTAGTTCCAACTGGCCGGCGGATTAGTATATGGAGTTCCCCCCTTAATCTGCAGCTGGTGAATTAACGAAGGGACCACTAACGAATAAAAACACCATATGGCGTCTGTGGCATATCTGCAATACCAACGCGACTAATGCGATACAATTTTATAGTAATGATTAAACCACAAATAGGTATTATTCCCCTCAAACTTCTTTTGAGAAGTGCCACGCCGTTAAAGATATTGCTCGTACTCTCCTCATTGGTAATAAAGTCTTCAATTGAAAGTACTCTTCAAACGATCTGTTACAGTCCGATAGATGTTGCCCAGGATTTAAAATCAGTAACCGTTGAAACGGAATTTGAAGGTCTTTAAAGATATTGCTCGTACTCTCCTCATTGGTAATAAAGTCTTCAATTGAAAGTACTCTTCAACTGATCTGTTACAGTCCGATAGATGTTGCCCAGGATTTAAAATCAGTAACCGTTGAAACGGAATTTGAAGGTCGAGAAAAGAAAGAAGTTACACGGACTGAAATCAGACTAGTATGAAAGCTGCGGAACTACGGAAATACCTTTTTTGGTGAAAATTTCAATTACGAAAATGGCAGGGTGAGAGGGAGCGTCATAGTGATGCAGTATGGAGCTCACCCAGGGGGTCGACACTGCCATGTATTGGGGTGTAACGCTTTATGCACTACCGCCATCTTCGGTTGGAGTAAACCTTCTTTGCGAACTAAAATATTTGACGGGCTATTCAAATTCATTTATTAAACGAAGGGATATTTTCGAGATTTAAAAAGTACTTGCAATGATCGAAACAGACGTTGCTTAAAGTGACACACAAATGTAAGAAAACAGTATATTAAACATAAAAGAAGTAACAAAAGTGTCAGTGGCGCAACGCCTGTTTTAAATCACTGTAAGAACTGAAATAATTACATTATACATTAGTTAAAAAGTAACATATTAAGATAAAAATATTAATTATTATGAATGTATAAATATACAAATTCTATACAAATTTAATTTTTGTTATGATTCATTTAATTATTACAATTATTATAGTAAGAAACTACAAACTGTTCTTGATTTACACTTTTACTCACAAACTCACCTTCGCGATTTAATACCCGAGGTAATTGAAACTTGTAAAAATATTGCCACTAATCGAGGTTAGGTTCACTTTGGTTCACTTGTCCCGACTATTTTTATGCGCATCTACACTGCGCCTCCTGGAGTCTCTTGCTATTGGTTAGAAAATTTTTTCTCTGTTCTTCTCTTTCTATTAGACTGAAAAGTCACGACCCCAGCGTTGTCTTTGCTTGGAGTAGGTGAACTAACTTCAGCGTTACACCTCTCCCATAAGGAGTGTCGACCCCCTGAGCTCACCTGCCATCTTGATTCGTCGTTGTCTAAAACGTGCTACCAGACATGAGCGGGGAGATGTTTCACGCCATTGTCGAAAAAGAGGCACGGCTCACTAGCACCGTGGAACTGTTTGCAAAGGGGCGAAATGTTCTCCATCAATAAAGAATCACCCATCATTTCATTTCAAATACAACACAGGATCAATGGAATGAAGTTATTGCCTTTTCGTTTTTAGGATTCAGGGTCAACGTAGGTTGGGAAAGTAGACTACGAATACTAAATAAAGTTGTTATGCCTGGACGATTGAGATTATGACACGGCACCCACGTATACTCTGTTTTACCGATTACGAAGATTTCGCCCCTTTGAAAGTAGTTCCAATTTTTACAGAGGTGTAAAGGGCGTAGATGGCGCCATGCCCCTCTTTCAAAAAGCGTGAAACGTGTGCCCGCTCATCTCTGGTGCTACATGCGCAACTAAAACCATCGGTCCATAAGGTATTGCATTGCAAATAATTAGTTCGTGTTAAAGCACAAGTTATTTGGTTGCTCAAATTTATTTATTATACTGTGTGCACTGTAATTTAAACACCATTATAGTCACTCGTGCAATTAAATTTCGTTTTACTAATAAATGCATGTGGCCACTAGGGTTAATCAAGGGTCTGTGGTCTGCGGCATAACTAGATTAATTTTTTTTTTTCCAGTCATTCGGGGACTCGCAGTAACACTGCTGGGTCACAATTTGTTGATTATATGGCACGAAAACCCTTACCTTTGACACATTGTCGCCCCGTTGCAAATATGCAAGCTTGTACCCAGAACGAGGTTCGTCCTCCACCTTTTTAAAACTATTCAAAAATACATTGTATCACCTAACCACATGTACCTTCTGCACAGCATGATTTCCGTGAATAACATGATTTCAATGTTTCGTTCATTTCTGGTACGATTTCAGTTTTACATAAAACTTGATCGCGCAGCGTTGCATGGGATTTTGTTTCTCTAGTTTTGTAACATAACATGTACAAGATTTGCTATCAACTGAGACACATTAGCGACAGCGAGTTGAAGCTTGCCCTAAACGAAGCAGAAATGTACTTTTCAGTTGCTGCCCTGTGTTGCGTACATACATCCTGACACATTAGATTCAACCACATGTTTAATAATCGGATTTCTCAAGTTCTCAGGATTTCAGCCCCAATGCCGAAAACAACGTTCTTTCGCGTTTCTTTATTGCTTTACAGCGGTCGTAACAATTTATTTTAAACGTCGAACCGAGCGACGTATATTGCTTTACGCTCACGGTTTCATTTATTCGCAAAAAACCCTTGGATTTGCTAAATTTCCGGTTTCAAATGGTCCAACCCTAATAAACCCATAAAAAGGTTGACTCCAAGGCGCCCAAGTGTTCGACTACCTAGTGGTACTTGGAATTTTCCGTGCTCGGACAACTCTTGTCGATCTCGGACGACCCCATGTGCGAGTCACCTAGGACACTCAAGGGCGAAGTAAAGGGCGGCATCTAAAAATTTGGCACGTCCAAGGGAGTTAACCAATCGGCATTGGAGGAATCCCTCCTTTACATTTTTTCAGGGTTTTTTCCGGAGAAAACTCAAGTATTTTCAGAATTTCCAACATTACTCCTCCCACACGATTCTCTGATTCGAGAATCTCAAATTTGTTAAACTCCCACTCCGCGAGGGAGGCATGCGGACGCTACCTTCGAGAGCTTTGCGATCCTCGAAGAGCTTCACTTGGTTCACTGCTTTCAATCGGTCGACTTGGTTCCCACATTTTAACCAGTCGACTTGATTCACTAACTTCAACCAGTCAATTCTCAACAAGAGAATATCGCATACGGATTTCAACAGAAATCACCCGACCATAAGAGCAGCTTAGCTCAGGTCCACGTTCATTTAAAAACCAGCCGTACAATATTAACCCTTTTAATGCCGAAGGCCGATATATCGGCCCGCACCTTGTAGCGCTTTACTATTCGCTTTGCGAGAGATCTCTATCTCAAAATAAATTTATAATACGTTATAAATAGTCTAATTTCATTACGAGATAATTAAAGTAACGATACAACACCTATAACAACCTATAACCTATAACAATTACTTGTTTCGAATGAGTTAATCCGTCCGGCGCCTACCATGTGCCTTGGAGTTATTTTTCATGTTTCTTGTCCAATATTACTTATTTTGTTAAAAAATATATTGGAAATTTAAAGTATATACTTTGCAATAAACGGTCTATATAAATGTATGATAAAAAGATGACTTTTACTATGTGCAATTACGTTTTGAAACGGAGAACTCAATTTTTCTTTTTTTTTATCACTTATACCTTTGTTATTTATGTAATTTTCAATGAATATAGAAAAATTAGCGTCCCTGTTTTATTCTCTATTTTGTCCTTAATACCCTGCTTTTTGAATTATGTTAATATTGCTTTTCGTTTGGTTTTTATGAGCCTTTTTCCAAATCCTAGTAAAATCGTAAAATTCGGCCGGTTATCTTCGCATAAGCACCTCTTTTTCGCCCGACACTAAAAGGGTTAAGTTAGCGTACGGTCGTCGCGTTATCTTCGTGTTCGCGAGTTTAATTGCAAATCGCGAGATCCCGGATTTACGCCCCTAGGACAGAATACTCAAGCAACTTGTTTGGTCACAATCCTTTCTAAACATCACGTAGTCCGTATTGCAAAATGGGCTTTCTTCATGCGTTCGTTTTGCTTATCTCCGTTTTTATGAATGTCGTCAATTGCATTATTGTAAATTGTCCTGTTAATAATAATATATTTGCACATTCTTCTTATATGTATTTGGCACGAAACTTCATCGAGGTCCCCTATCGCGTTTTCTGCTGCAATATTTGGAAACTAGAAAGCTATATCATTCAATGGATCTATTGGCACGATGTCAAATGAATTTGAATTATTACACAAAATAATGCTTTCTAACACAATATGATTAAAATTTGGTGCAATTAATTCGAGTAATTACCTCTTTCAGCAATGATATACACGTAATTCGCTGTTACAAACTATAAAATGACTATTATTAGTGTATTTTCCTTCATTTCTATTACTAAACACGAACACATGTTGCATGATCTGATATGGTTGCATTAAGATATAGAGAAAGATAAAAACAAGTTACTAAATAAATAATTAATTAACAGAATAATCACAAAATTGTTTATTTCTTGGGATATTTTTGCCAGTATAGCAAAATAATTCGATTTTTTGCAAAGATGGCAAGGTACATCTTTTGTTACTTACAAGCACTGAATGTTAACGATGACACAGATAATAGGATGTTTGTAACGGCAACTAATCTTGCTCCATGATTGGTCAACATTAAACCACTGTTGTTTTGTAACTACAATTTGGATTCAAGTTTGCATTGGATATTCTTTTTCAAAATTACTTAAAGATTATCGTGATATATTTCCTGTTTGCGAGATCTGGGACATCCTATATAATAGTCTTATTTCGGATCTAAAAATCTTTTCCCGTTTATTCGACATGTATAAAACGTAATTCGTTCACGTCTTTCAGTGTATAATGTGTTCGGAAACTCTCATTATCTTACTCATAATTAAGCACAATTGACTGAAAAAGTTGGTCAATTTGCCCCGGTCTCCCTTATTTATTGTCTTAAAACAAATATTGATCAGTAAGTACCATGGGGTGGGAAACAGAAACTACACATGACCACACATAAACTTCTTGGTCACAAAGGAGTTATAGAACAATATTGTGCTAAATTCAGCTTCGTCAGAAAAGTAAAAAAAATGTTATTGATTTGTGATTTAAATTCATACATAGTTCCAGAGAACTAACAAATAATTTTCTGTTTGATAATTACTACTATGTCTTGCATATTACAAAGTAATATGCAATTAACAGCGAATGAAGTATGTTCATACTAAGATATATTAAATGATAAAATGCACTACGTATTTAACTATTATGTCGACTACTGTTAATAATGCAGTTTCACTGACACATACATGGACATATTACGGGCAACATATATTACGAAGTTACAATTTTCAAGTTCTCTCGTTTAATGTTTCAGTTAAGGGGTTACACCACTTTGACGCACCCAAAAATTACGGTTTTTTCAAGAATTTTTGTTTAAGACTTAAAACGTTTTTATCCAAATTAAAGTACAGTAAGGCATTATACTACTATTAAATTCGCTCATTGCGAAAATCGGTGATCGTGCGGTTGGCAGGTGTATAGGTGTAAACGCGTTTTTCTTAAAACTGCATTTTAATAATCGGTGGGCACTCTAGCTCCGCCAATTTTCAATCAATCGTTTTGATTCTTTTTTTATTTTATTCGCGATATGTATATCTAGC